GGATGTTTTCTTGATGTGCACTTACCCTTTATATAAAACTCTCTCTTATACATGAGTTTCTGTGGATTTGTTTCTCTAAAGTACCCAGGCTAACAGAGGAGAACGGCTCCTTTGGGTATCTAAGGCTGTGAATACTGTTGGGAGCAGAAAGCCTCACCTTTCTCCCACAGAGCGGCTGATGTGTTCAAACTGCCAGCCTCATGGTTAGCAGTCCCACGTAACCCATTAAGCCACCAGGGTTCCTTTTTTCTACAGCCCTCACTCTCAGCTAGTCGGCTTGAGATCCCCAGCGACCCTATGTCATGTTTGGGTTCCGAGGCTTCACATCTTTACAGAAGCATCTCTCCCTTGCAGAGTAGCTAGGCTGCCCTTGCAGTTAGCAGGTCACAGCTTCCCCAACAGTGCCAGCAGGGCTCTATTTCTACAATTAAACAGTCATCAGATCTTACCATTTCAACATCTGATGTTTTACCTCCCCACTTTCACTAGAGGGGGGAATTTCCCACATGGTTTCCTACGTCTCCTACTCAGTGATTTCCTGTACAGATTTTCAGTGAATTTCCTACTCTTCTGCTCAAAATAATTTGGTCTTTATTTCTAGAAGATAATGGCTAAATTCATTAACATAAGCAATACACTATCAATATAATAACACAGACATAATATTCCAAGTCTGGCTTCCAACTCTATCCAACTCTTCCTCTACACATTCCATCTATCCTACCGTCAGCCATTAACAACTAACTATAGTCATGCCATTTGTCTGCAGTCTACATTTTAGTTATGTAAAACGAATTGGAATTTCTGAAAAACACATGCTCTCTGACATCTCTGTAACTGCACATATTGCTTGGAAACATATCCTACTAGCTTCCCAAGACAAAAATGCAGATAGCATTTTACTGAGGAGCTAGTACATAAATGAGTCTGGCTCCAGGGCACAAGAGCCCTGGTGGCATAGCGGTTAAGAGTTGGGCTGCAATCTGCAAGGTCAGTAGTTGGAAACTACTAGCCACTACTCGGGGAAAAGACAGGCTTTCTAGTTCTATGAACAGTTACAGTCTTGCAAACTCCAGCGCAGTTCCACCCTGTCCTATAGGGTCGATATGAGTTGGCATCAACTCGATGGCAGTGAGTTTGTATTGTTGTTATTTTGTCCAGGGCACATGTTACTAACAATAATAACAGAAATACCATTACCATTTATTGCACACCTACTTTGTGTTAAGCATAGTATTAACAGTTCTACATGTATTATCTCTACTCTTCCCAAGGTTAGGTATAATTCTAATTTTACTGACCTCTCTGGGATTCAGAGGTACCTGATTGAGGATACAGAGTTAATAAGAGACAGACTTTGAATTTCAACTTGTATCTGTTTAAAGTTGAAGAGTTTTATGGTACCATGCAATCTCTGGCATTACATAAAGAGAGAGGAATGAAAAGCTAGTATGGAAGAGAAGCCAAGAATAAGGGTGCAAAGATTGGACTTTTATTCAGTAGGCAGTGAAGAGGGAATGGCTTGGTGAGTCTAGTAAGCATTGTTTTGGGAAAACGAAACTGTTAACAATGTACGAGTTTAACTGAAAGGAAGCTGGTCAGGAGCGCTCACCTGCCCAACAGCAGCTGGATGGCTCTGGTTTCAGCTTTTGTTGTCTCTGTAGCATGGAGAAGGTGGTCATCAAGGTGGCCTTTCAGTGGACTTCTAGACAAAGCTCTGATTGTAAATTAAAAGAAAAATTCTCAGTGGGTAGCACATGGGAAAATGATAAGCCATAATGAATTGAACCAAGAAATGGCACATGCCGGCTACTGACTGGGGTCTTAAAGGATTGTAGTCAAACAAGCGACCATCTAGCAGGGAAGCAACAAAGCCCACAAGCCTGTATGTCCAAGGGAAGTGTCATGAGGTGTCCAAGGGAAAAGGTCCCAGAAGTACGAAAACTAGCAACCAAATTGATGTGAAGGGGTGCTCATGTAGTGGAGACCCAAAACCTACCTGTAAGATAATTGGACAGTCCCTCTCAGCAGGGATGAAAAATCCAGGGTGTGATATAGCATTGATGAACCACATTTAACTATCCTCTAGTTCTTTGTTTGTTTTATTAGGGGCTCATACAACTCTTATCACTATCCATACATACATCAATTGTGTAAAGCACATTTGTACATTCATTGCCCTCATCATTCTCAAAACATTTCCTCTCCACTTAAGGCCCTGGCATCAGGT